GGTGGTGCCTGAGATTCTGTATTTCTAATGAGCTCTTGGGTGATACCCCTGCTGCTGGTCCAGGGCCACACTTGGTAGCAAGGGCTCATAGCAAGTCTCCTAAATGTGCTTCCTCACTCACCATCTTTCTCCACAAAGGGGAAAACACAAGTGCTGTCACATTGCCAGGCTTTCTGGATCTCACACCGCCAGCATCATTTGTCCCCGGCATAGGAGAGTGCTCAAATCCCCTGGAGATGCCATGAGAAATACTGATTCTTGGGTTTCACCCCCTGGAGATTCTGACTCACTGGGTCTGGGGTAGGGCCTCAGAATCTGTATTTTTAAGAAGCACCCCCCCCCCAGGCAGTCTTAATGATTTTTTAAGAACCAGTGTCTTACAGGTTAAAGTCCAAACTGAAGCCTTAAATATAGTCTTCCCCAGCCGATCCAATCTCCTTTATTTCTCACTTATTACTCCCCCCAAACCTTTGTTCCGGGCAGGCTGTCTCTTAAAAAGACCCAAAGCATTCCCTACTTTTTACTTTGGCTCCACCTACAAATTCTCCCCACTCTGGAATTACCCTGACTTACCTGTGTATGTTCACGGTCACTCCACCAAGAATACGAGCTACTGGAAGACAAAGTGCCACACACACAGCTGGTAGGAAGAGACTTTGTCTCCACTCTCTTTAGCCGTGTCAACTCCAACCATCCTCCCAAATTCTACCAAGTCACTGCCTCCACCCCCATATTTAAGTCCCATGGGAAACCCACTTTTCTGGAAGAATGGAAAATGTGACTCTCTTGACTGAAATAGAAGTGACACCCCGTCCTGACACGTAAGGAAGGATGCTGAGTCACACTCCAATCCTATCTGGAAACAAGTCCCTGGGGACAGGGACTTTGTCTTATATTTGTTCTATGCTATTTTCATAAGTCAAAAGCATCTCATGTTCACCATTAAATGAAATGCTAAGCAAACATCTGAGTATGTTTGGTGATCTGCCAGAAGATGACACATAATGGTAGGGATGAAGAGAGTCATTACAGCTAATTAGTCAAAATGACATCAAAATTTTCTAATTAGCTTTTGTAAACATCCTTGTGCCAAGAAAACATTAGGTGTTGAACTTCAATATATCTACTCCTAAAATATGATTAGAACAGCCTACGGTGCCGCGGAACACGTAAGGCTAACGCCAGTCATGAGAAATCAGGATCTACCAGCATCAGCTTAACTTACACAGGAAGAAACACTTACGGCTCAGTAGGAATTAAGAAGTGAGGCCGACTCAGCACCCAGGGTTGTCTAAAGAAAGAGAAACAACATCCAGGAGTCCTTTTTTTTTTTTTTTTTAAGATTTTTAAAATTTATTTATTTATTTATTTGGCACAAAGAGAGAGAACAAGCAGGGGGAGCGGCAGGCAGAGGAGAGAGAGAAGCAGGTTTCCCGCTGAGCAGGGAGCCCGATGTGGGGCTCGATCCCAGGACCCTGAGATCATGACCTGAGCCGAAGGCAGACACTTAACCGACTGAGCCACCCAGGCGCCCCTCCAGGAGTCCTCTTTGTGAACCACAGATATGCTCTCTGGACCAAACCTAACAAGAGAATACATGATCCATCAAGATGTCACCCAAACCTGCCTCTAGCTCATTCCCCAACCCCTCTCTTCCGATCCAGGTGACTTTCCTGTACCTAAAGCTGTCCCCTGCCCACTGCCATGCTCTTTCTCTAATGCCTCTATTCTAGGCACATACTATTTTCTTTGTTCAAGAGGTCCTGCCACACACTCACTCAACCTTTAAGATCAAATGTCACCTCTGGAGAAAAGGTAGTTGCTTCATTCTAGGGAGGGAATGGGGTCTAAACTGCTGCCACTTATTTTGTAAGAAGCCGGAGTTTATTTCTATTTAAACAATACTCAAGGAATTTTTAGAAGGTCAGAAGGCCCAAAGATAGCCAGGTTTAATATAATATTATAGCCAGGCGCCGGCAGCTGCTGCCTGTTTTGAAATCTTCAGGACAACCCTGGGTGGTTTGACCCTGGTAATTCTCCCAGTCCACAAGTGGTGCATTCCTCTGAGTTTTGGTGTAATTCACATGAGGCTAGCCCTCCAGTAATGATGACCGAAAACAGTGCTAGAAGCAATCATCGTCATTGAAAGGAAGAAAGGTAAATGATCAGAGAAGAAAGCCACCATAGCAATTTCAAGAAGCAAAATTATTAATTCAGTATAAAACAAATGAGCATTTGCAGAATCTGTATGAAAACCCTTCTTGCATTATTCTTTGAAACCAGATCCTGTGACTATGAGCTCAAGGAGCTGGGATCTTGACAGATCCTGTAATAACACGTATCTTCATATTCTTTTTCTCAGACTCTTGCACAGTGCCTGAAAACCGGCAGACATGTGATCAGTGTCTTTCAAGTAAATGGAGGAGTTGCTGATTCACCTGTATGAGTAGGACCTTCTGCCCATTAATCCGAGGTCAATCCCTCTTCTGACTTTATTGGGCTTTTCCATAGTAAAACCCCAACACTAATCTCTCTGAATCGCAACAATAATAACAGTTTTATAGTAAGAGCAACCAGTATTAATTGAGCACTTACTAGGTGCCAAATGCTGTGAAGTCTTAACATGGATAATTTCAGTTAACTTCACAAATTATCCCCACTTTCCAGATTAGGAGCTTGGAGCTTAAGACACCAAGTAATTTAATTTGCCTACGTCATTTGCCAGGGCAGTACGTGAAGGAGCCAAGATCGAAGCACAGAAGCCATATAGTGCATTATTAAGGTATAGTGCTCACAACTAATCAACGCCACTGGGCTCACAGTTATTGACTCACTACCAGTGATGCTGATCTCCACTGAGCAGCTCTTCCCACTCCAGGCATGCAGCATCAGACCCTCTACGGCTGGCTGAGGGGAGCCAAGCCCCTTGGATTTGTGGAAGAGCGTGGGGCCATCTCAGTGTTGCCACTGGCCACTGGAAATTACCATGACAACACGCTTGTAGTCCTCTTTGGTGGGCTCTGGCCCGGTGATGAGTGCAAGCTTCTTTACTCCTTATGTATCCCGAAAAGCCAACCCTTCAGTGGCGGTACCTGGTAGTAACTGGCTTCCTGTGATGTGCCTGAAAGAGCAGTCTCCACCTACGTCTTGAAGCTAAACCCCTGTAACATATGTGGAAGTTGTTGGCTAAAGGTCCAAACTCAAAACTCGTTGTACCTCCTCAGTAAAGCCTTTTCTGGCCCCCAGTCAGCTCTAAGTTATTTCTTTCCACTCCCCAATTCCTTGGTGTTCTATGTGTAAGTCCTTTTCAGTTCATTTCCTACTCGGGGCTTAAGGGGAAAGTTGCTACAACACATGGCAAGCAGTCAATAAAAAAATTGCAAATAACTGCATCAAAATGCCAGTTCGTGTAATTTTAAGTCCAATGAGAAAACTCCCATTTTTCTGGAAAAGACTACTGATCTTTGAGATTTGAGAAGGAGCCAGCTCCCGATTTTATTTCTCCCTGGTAAAGGGAACAATAATGGCCTGGCAAATCTATGGGGAAGAGCGTGTGTGTATGTGTGTGTGCGTGTGATGGCCTGGCAAATCTATGGGGAAGAGCGTGTGTGTATGTGTGTGAGAGAGATGGCCTGGCAAATCTATGGGGAAGAGCGTGTGTGTGTGTGATTGCCTGGTAAATCTATGGGGAAGAGCGTGTGTGTGTGTGTGTGTGTGAGAGAGAGAGAGAGAGAGAGAGAGAGAGAGAGAGAGAGATGGCCTGGCAAATCTATGGGGAACAGCGTGTGTGTGTGTGATTGCCTGGTAAATCTATGGGGAAGAGTGTGTGTGTGTGTGTGTGTGTGTGTGTGTGATGGCCTGGCAAATCTATGGGGAAGAGCGTGTGTGTGTGTGTGTTTGATGGCCTGGCAAATCTATGGGGAAGAGCATGTGTGTGTGTGGGTGTGTGTGTGTGTGTGATGGCCTGGCAAATCTATGGGGAAGAGCATGTGTGTATGTGTGTGAGAGAGATGGCCTGGCAAATCTATGGGGAAGAGCGTGTGTGTGTGTGTGTGTGTGATTGCCTGGCAAATCTATGGGGAAGAGCGTGTGTGTGTGTGTGTGTGATGGCCTGGCAAATCTATGGGGAACAGCGTGTGTGTGTGTGTGTGTGATGGCCTGGCAAATCTATGGGGAACAGCGTGTGTGTGTGTGTGTGTGTGTGTGTGTGTGAGATGGCCTGGCAAATCTATGGGGAACAGCGTGTGTGTGTGTGTGTGTGAGAGATGGCCTGGCAAATCTATGGGAAAGAGCGTGTGTGTGTGTGTGTGTGTGTGAGATGGCCTGGCAAATCTACGGGGAAGAGCGTGTGTGTGTGTGTGAGATGGCCTGGCAAATCTACGGGGAAGAGCGCGCGCGTGCGTGCGTGTGTGTGTGTGTTCTGCTTCGGCTTTTCCCAGATGTTAGTTAACTGAAGCTTTAAGGCACAAAGCCCATGCTTCTTTTTCGTTCAAAGAGCCGCGGGGAAGGCTGGTGGGACCGCTCGCACATGGACATCCCGTGTGCGTCCGTGCGCGTTTAATTCCGTTGCAGCCCCATTTTATAGCACCTTGAACATGTCATTCAAAGAACCGGAAAAGATGAGAAATGGGGCTGCGATTTTTTTCTGCATTCACGGGCAGAGCCTCAGCAGGACGTGCGCCGCCTTTTGCCGAGGGCCAGCAGTGCCCCAGGAGCCACATCCGGAAGCGGAAGACGCCCCGGCGTCTGCCGGCTGGAGCCTGCGGGAGCCTGCGGGTGGATTCTCGGGGAGGGCGCGGGGAGAGCGCGCTCCTGGGCAGTGACTGAAGTGGCCAGCAGGGGGCTGGCCTTCTCTGTCTATAAGTAGCCCCGGTGCCTCCGCAGAGCCTCAGCGCCGCAGAGGGGCGGTTAGCTGCTCAAGTCAGTGACGCGCAGAGCATCCTGCCTATAGGATGTGAGGCTTTCTCAGTGCAGTTGTTTTTCTACCCACTTTAAACCTTCAGGTTCTACACATCAGGAAAGATAGGAAATGCCGTATGAAAATAGGCGGCCAAAAGTTGCTAGTAAACTGCAGCCAGGGAGACTCAGACTAGAGTGGAGGTAGAAAGAGTTGCTACAGAGTGGGTTTAGTTCTGGCTGACTTTTTGTTGCTCACTTACTGAATTTAGACATGTGTTACATGGGTCATGTGAGGACCAGAGCAGCACCAGCATCAAAATAGTGCCAGGCCGTTCTGAATGCCATGGTGTATATGTACTCAGAGTAGTTTTGTCAAAGAAGATAAAGAGCCCAGCATAGATTTTATCCTCATCTTCACCCAACTACAAAATCAAAGTTAAGCAACAACATCTAAGAGCCCTTTTCAGGGGGACAAGAACCTAGAGGATGGCTCTGAATGATTGTTTGCTTTTGAACTTGGAAGTGGACCACTTCTTGCACTGCAACATCTCCAATCACAGTGCAGATCTCCCCACGAAGGACGACTGGTTCCACCCAGGGATCTTCTATGTCATCCCTGCCATCTATGGGGTCATCATTCTGATAGGCCTCGTCGGCAACATCACCCTGATCAAGATCTTCTGTACAGTGAAGGCCATGCGAAATGTGCCCAACCTGTTCATCTCCAGTCTGGCCTTGGGAGACCTGCTCCTCCTGGTAACGTGCGCGCCCGTGGATGCCAGCAGGTACCTGGCCGACAGATGGCTGTTTGGCAGGATTGGCTGCAAACTGATCCCCTTTATACAGCTCACCTCAGTCGGGGTGTCTGTCTTCACACTCACGGCTCTCTCGGCGGACAGGTGAGTTCTGGAGGAAAGTCACCTTCTCTCTGAGGGTGGCCGGTGCCTTGGGAAATGAGCCACCAGCTTGGGGCAGGCAGAGCTGTTTGCACAAAGGGAAGTTTTAGTCAAACTCAGATTCCCTTCCAGGCACGTTGTTCTTCTGGGGACTACTTCTTGAATTGGACGTTATCGGTTTAAGAAAGAAAAGTGAGGGGGTCTTGGGACGAAAGGGCAGAAATGAGAAAAAAAAAATCTCTGAACATAAGATTGACATGTATTTTCTGGAGACAAATCGGTTTAGCGTTGCTTTTTCCTAACTTCTCCCTCCCTGCAAAATTAATTGGTGAGGAAAAAAAAAAAAAAAATCACACCTAAGAGAGTTTACACCCCAGGCAAATGTTTCTTCGAAACAATTCAAAGGCTTCAGAGAACAGAAAAGTCCCACTGAATTTCCTCCTCAAAATACTCTTTCAGAAATAAACAAGAGGAGACAATAAGCAGCATTTCTTTGAAATTTATTTTCCTTAGACCATTTACCTTTTCTCACAGCTGATTTTGTATTGGGCTCTCTGTAACCAGAGAGCTGGTTTTTCTAAGTGTCCCTTCAGTGAAATCAACCATTATTTGGAATTTTTTCCCCTTGAGAAAGTTCCATTCAAGTTTGATTTTGAATTTTAATCTTTTTGATGCACTTCCACATACAGTGCCTTTGGGGTTTTTTGTTTGTTTGTTTGTTTGTTTTGGTGGGGGAGTCCAACATTTCATTCTGGGCAATACTCACATTTGTGAACTGCATTTCTTGTGTGAACATGTTGCTTAAAAATTCACATTTATTCACTCTTAAAGATTCATATTCATTCCTTCAACATTTACCAAGCATCTATTATGTTAAAAAACACTTGCTTGAATTAACCAGTCGGGAAATATCCACAGGCTGTTCACACACATTGCTGCCTAGATCTAGCATGCTTCTGAGCTCTAGAAAGTGGACACAGTAATGAATAGACTCCCGAAACATCATGGAGCATATGGTCAAATTAAGAAAAAACTGGAACAATGAACCAGAGACTCTAAGTTTTCATTTTAAAATCCACTGTATGTTATGCTGTTAAAGACACATGAGGATCTGAGCGTGTACCAGGAAAGGCATAGAAGCAGCTCTTGAAAGTTTATACTCTGAAGAAAACGTCCCACATTTTAATACATGTGGTAGTGGGTTTTCATTTTATAGAGGAACAAACAGTCCCCAGGTGATCTGGCTTTGTTGAGTAATGGACGAATAAAGACAGTGTTATCAGTATTTGTAGACATGTCTTTATACTTAGCTGCCTGAAGTACACTGTTCATTTTCAAAGATGGAAAAGTAATAGCCCGGAGGCAAGGTCTGCACACCGTACTGGCCAGAGGGGCTTTCTCCACTCTCGCCGCTCGCCCCCAGCTTGCTCTCACCTGAACAGCGGCCCCCCAGGTACTGGTGGCCATGGGCAGTCTCACGTGTTGACCCAGGCTGGGCAAACTTTGGAGCCGGCAGAAGGTCTGTGGCTCATTACACAGATGCCGAGGTCATCTCAGGATGGAGGCGAATTTTCCTGATGGGAAGATGAGATTTTGGACCCCGGGCTGCTGGGTGCAGTGGTGTAGAGGGTGTTTACCATCTTCTTGGGGCGGGGTGGGGGGACAGAGAGGGAAGCGAGGGTGTGGGGTGTGAAATGAAGCTGCAGGGGGCTCTTTCCAGAGTTTCAGAGCAGACCAAATTCCCCATCGGCAGAAAGGCTCTTTCCAAAGCCGGGTTGCAGCCTTTGGCAGCTCCGGTGTGTTCTCAGCAAGTTTATAGTTACTGTGTGTTCTTCCCCTACTATAAGCTTCCCTATAACTAACTTTCTGTGCTTTGCTGAGGCTTCAAAAAGCTGATGGATCACCTGAATCACTGGTAGCAAGTGCATCTAACCGATTTCGACAAGAATAAGTACTGAGCTAGTTAAATAATACAAAACTACACTTGGGCGCCTGGGTGGCTCAGTTGGTTGAGCGACTGCCTTCGGCTCGGGTCATGATCCTGGAGTCCCGGGATCGAGTCCCGCATCAGGCTCCCTGCTCGGCAGGGAGTCTGCTTCTCCCTCTGACCCTCCCCTCCTCATGTTCTCTCTCTCTCTATCTCATTCTCTCTCTCAAATAAATAAATAAATAAATCTTTAAAAAAAAAAACTACACTTACCTATTTATCTCATTTTTAAAAGCTATTGGGGTCTTAAAATAACCTCATGAGGATGGCAGGGCAAATACACACACCCATACCCTCTCTGTTTTTTCTCAACAAGGTACGATCTGTATACAGGAAAGTGAACAAGTGTATAGCTCAATGGATTTTTACTTATGTCTTCATAACATAAGTAAACCACCCAGATGTAGATATAGAATAGTTCCGGCACCCCAGGAGTTTTCTTTTATGCCTCGTTCCAGTTAATGCCTGCCCCCAGACAGGAGCAATCACTATTCTGAGTTCAGTTGACATAGATTATTTTTGCCAGTTCTTTAATCTCATATAAAGGGCATCATACTTCCTATGCCCATCATGTCTGTGAGAGTCATCTATGTTGGTGCACATAGCAATGGTTTGTTCTTTTTAATTCTTGTGTAGTATTCCACTGTATGAATATACCCCGTATATGTATCCATTCTAATACTGATGGACACGGGGTTGTTTCCAGTTTGGGGTTCATAATAACCTACTCTGGATAACCTTATTTGTGCCTTTTGGGGAACATATGTGTTTGTTTCTCTTGGGTTTAAGCCTGGGGATGGAATCACCAGATCACAGGGGACACATATTTAGTAAATATCGTCAAAGAGTTTTCTAAAGCACTAGTCTGTATTTGACAGGGTGGTAAAAGGATGAACCAGAAGACCCTCCAAACTGGATGATCATCACAAATCAATGGGGAGCTCAAAACCAATACAGCTTCTTAGTCCCTACCCTAAATCTACTGCATCAGGGTTTCTGAGGTGGGAAGAGCGTAATGATAGTCGTCCATCCCTGCCCCTGTAGGTTCACCAGCAATGCTGGTACTCATTCCCATCTCCCTTCTGCAGCCCTCCCTTCCCCCAGGCAAACTTGAGTCTTTGTTAATACGAAGGGGATAACAGTTTTCTGGAAAAGTTTACACTGTTGCCACTGTGTCAGAGGGAGACTTCAAGGCAGTCCCAGAAACCAGAATTCTGGGTTTCACACAGCTGGTCAATTGCAGGTTTGCATTCAAGCCCCTTCGCTTTTGGTCCCTGCCCGCCCTCTCCTTCCATGCCTTTTCCCCTCACACACACGCCGATGTCCTCATACCTGGTGGTTACACTGACGAGTTCCTGGCTCTGCTCCCTTGCTTATGCTGTGTCCTGCCAACTCTCCAGACACTTTCTCTTTTCCTGCATTGAAGACGCTACTCCCCATGTGATGTACGGGCTTGGAATGGGCATCAACGGTCCTGCATTTTAGGCTTTTTGCTGCCATTACTGCCCACTTAAAGGAGTCGGACCAAGTCACTTAACTCTGACCTTAGTTGAATCATCTGTAAAGTAATAGAGTTGAGCTAGATTATTTCTAAGGTCCCTCCAAATTTTTTATCTGTCATCTTGCCTATCATTCGGAATATGGTTCAAGCTTCCACCTTAAAACCCTAAGTTGGACCATTCTAGCCCCAACTTCCTAACCCTCCCCTAAACATAAAGCTTATTATCTTAGACATGAATTATCTTGTGACTTCTTTCATTTTGCTCTTTTGAAGTATTTTACTCATTTGTCTTTTTTTAGCCTCTCGTATATTCATTGCGTTAACTTTTCAAGTAGATTATTAAGCATGCTGAGGGCAGGGGCGCCTGGGTGGCTCAGTTGGTTAAGCGTCTGCCTTCGGCTCAGGTCATGATCCCAGGGTCCTGGGATCGAGCTCGGCATTGGGCTCCCTGCTCAGCAGAGAGCCTGCTTCTCCCTCTCCCTCTGCTTATGTGCACGCTTGCTCTCTCTCATTGTCAAATAAATAAAAACGGTCATACCACCCTGACCGCGCCCGATCTCGTCTGATCTCGGAAGCTAAGCAGGGTCGGGCCTGGTTAGTACTTGGATGGGAAAATCTTTAAAAGAAAAAAAAAAGAATGCTGAGGGCAGAGATTTCTTATATATTCTTCTCTCTTCCACACTGCCTCACATGGTTCCTTGGCACCAAACGGGTGATCAATAAACAGTGATTAAAATTATGGTTAATTAATCCACACTTTTCTTCTCATTCTTCTTTTCCTTTTTTGGAATTCATCTGAAAGCATACTCTTTAAAATGTTTCATACAGTTACTGACTTCTTATCTCTTCCTCTCTATGAAGCTCTGAGTAAATGTGAGAAAAACCTTTCTTTCTGAGTCTATGAATAGATTTGGGGGATGAAGATGGGTGCATGGATAGACAAATGAAAAGATAGGTGGGTGGATGAGTGGATGGGCAGATGGATGGACAATGGTTGGATGGATGGATATATTTTTTACAGAATGGTCTTTCCTACTAGATGCCCATTTCTGTACTAGGTCCTCAGCATTATGTAAATGGAGTTTAAGACCAAAATTAGGCCCTCAATAGGAGAAGGGTAAGGAGAATTTGTGTTTTCCAGTAAGTGTGATGTTTAAAGCTAGATGTTATGTTGACAGCATATAATACCCAAGTTATATTGTGCCTGCTTCAGTATTATTATTCAGTGCTATTTCTGCTAGAATGGATGGCAGAATGAATCCCAAAGGTAGATATATAGAGGAGTTCCATTGTAATTGTGATCCTTGATTCCATGGAAAAGACTGTTCATACGTTTTCCCCTCCCTTGTGATTTGGAATGTGTAAAGAAAACAGGAAAGAGTTGCATTTAGGCAAACTTCTTGAAGTACAGAGTCTTTGAATTCATTGCAAGGAATTTTTTTTTCACATTAACATTCTTAGTTTATTGATCCTCTCATGAAAAATCTACACAACCACCACAGATAAAGCCACTGCAGCATCTTTACTCCTTCTGTTGTCCAGTCTCCAACTCACTTTTTGCCAGCACCAACACTGGCTTTAGCAGTCCCCCTGACTTTCTTCATTCTGTTCTTGCATTCCTTTCGCTGTTTTCTTGATGTCTTTTTCTTCTCATACAGGCCATGTCTTGCAAGTCTGTGTTTGGGTTCATTTTTCTTTGCATAATCCAAGGAACCATAAATCATGCCAAAGCCGGTTGCCTTGCCACCACCAAAATGGGTTCTGAATCCAAACACAAATATAACATCTGGTGTGGTCTTGTACATTTTGGCTAGTTTTTCCTGAATTTCTGTCTTAGGTACTGTTGCCTTTCCAGGGTGAAGAATATCAATGACCGTCTGTTTCCGCTGAAGTAGTTGGTTAGTCATGAACTTCCTGGTCTGCATAGTTACTGTGTCATTCATGATGGCGGCCAAGCTTCAAGCAGCCGGGGAGGAAAAGAGGTTCATTGCAAGGAATTTATGAGATAATGTAGTTTCGGCCTTTCCTGCCATCTCGAGCTGCATGGTCCAGCATCTTAGCCACTAACCAAGTAAAACTAAAAATTCAGCTCCCTAGTCACACCAGCCACATGTCAAAGGCTCAGTAGCCACACATGACTCTACCAGACATTACAGGTACAGAACATTTCCATCATTGCAGAGAGTTCTATTGGACAGAAGAGAGTTTGCTCTGTGTCTTGGGGTCCCAGTCTCTTTTCCAAGATCCATGTTAGTTGGTCTGTCTCATTGACAGTATCAGGAATTTCTCACACAGGCAAATATCAAATGCCCCCTAGCTGCATGGGCTATTCCTGTCTGTCAAATATCTTCTATTAGAAGATACCAAAAATGAAGAGGAAAGAAACCAGGCAGCCCAGTACAGTCACTAGTCACAGGCTTGGGGAATTTGGGCATCCCACTGATGAGGTTTTGAGACCTTCTGAAAAATACATGTGTGGTTCACTTTCCAGGTTTGCATTATGAACTTCTCTCTGATCCTTCAATTCTCTTTTGCCGGGCCCTCTTCTATCTGGCAGTCTGTCTTTCTATCTTCCTATCCCAAGGCTTGCCAGAACAAACACAGCTGTAGCTAAACTCCTTTTTTTTCTTTTTAGAGAGAGAGAAATAGAGAGAGAGAGAGCACAAGCGTGCCATCAGAGTGGGAGGCAGGGAGGGGCACAGGGAGAGGGACAGAGAATCTTAAGCAGGCTCCACAGCCATCATGGAGCCCGACAACACAGGGCTCAATCCCACAACCCTGAGATCATGACCTGAGCAGAAATCAAGAGTCGAACACTTAACCAACTGAACCACCCAGGTGCCCCTCTAGCTAACTTCTCATTACTTCCACATTGCCTTCTGACTTCTCCCCTCTCTGACTTCATTTCCCTCTCCTTAATAGCTGGGTTCTATTCCCTCCATCTATCCAAATCCTATGAATCCCTCAAGGCACAGTTCAGGTCCCTTCTCCTCTATGAAGCATTCCCTGATCTTTTGCTTTCACTGATTTTTCCCCTTCTCAAGATGTTTTTGCCTGTATTGTCTATGGAATACCAAATCTGTCCCACATTTTATTACTGGGTCCTTTGTATAGATGTGTTTTCTACTTCCTTAATCATGTGGGAAGCTCCTTGGGGTCTGTGCCTGCTATGACACCTGGGCCTACCGTACATCTAGTAAGAGGACAATAACCACAGCTTGGTTGATGTTTGAGCAGTGACAAGTAGAAGTCATCTTAAAGTTCAAACCCTTGTTTGACAGAGACCAAAAGATGGAATTTGGCCTTGTCACAGCAGATTCAAAGTGCAGTCATGCTATAATACTGCTCTCCTCATTTTAAGTCCTAGTTCCTTCAGGGGAACTGGAAACTTTTCTTCAGACACCATCAAAACACAGAGTGATTCCATTTCCCTTCCCTGGACAGTGGGAGCTACTGATCCCAGACCCTACTGTTCTGAGGGAGGATAACCTGAGTAACTGCAAGATGGTGCCCTTCTAAGGGGATCGCCCCAGTGATGCCAGAGGCTCCTCTAATGTTCTAGAGGCCCAGCTTCACTGACTTCAAGGACATTGGCCCTTTCACACAAGACAAGACAATTTAATTTCTTGCAAAGCATCTTTTCCAGAAAGTCCCTCTGTTGGAGGGGCTTACATGAGTCACCAGTTCATAACTTCTCTATAGTCTGATTTTTCTGAAGCGTACTGCCTCTCTGGAAGGAAACTCAACTCGTGTTTCCCCAGGGTGATGGATCTGCCACAGCTGCGGGCAGACTCTGCAGTGCCCAGAGGGCAGGGGCAACGGAAGTGGGGTTTCCCAGCAAGGCTCTTTCAACTGGAGCGCTGTAGACAGAAGGGCAGAAAAGGATTTTGACCTTGTCTCTAACATATTATCTTTGAAAGTGTTAGACTTTTGTGTGATTAATTAAGTATCATTTCTGGCAGCTTAATATGCATGGAGGCAAAAAGAAAAAAAGCACAAACTTGATTATGAAACATATTGCATAGCCTGAAAGGGCTTCCTGGTGAGGTTTTTTGAACTGTGCTTGTCAATAACATCCTTTGAAAAATAGACTAAATTAGCATTTTTGCACTTGTAAATCCTCCTGGTGTGTAGGGTTTGCATAAATTTTCTCTTAATTAAAACACATGTTTTGCAGAAAAAAAAAAAATTCTCCATTCCTCTCTTTCTACCTCCCAGTAATAGAACAAGGGATTTTGTTTCTTACAGTCATCTTTGAAATTCTGCTCATCAGTATCTGATATTTGCTGCTACTTGAAATGATTTGATTTGCCTAGGAACCTCTAAGAGGCTGCCGATTTGTTTTACACATTAAATATCACTTTCTTTAGGGGCGCCTGGGTGGCTCTGTCAGTTAAGCATCCAACTCTTGATTTCGGCTCAGATCATGATCCCAGGGTCGTGAGATAGAGCCCCGCATTGGGCTCTGTGCTGGGCGTGGAGCCTGCTTGCGATTCTCTCTCTCCCTCTCCCCCTGCACCTCTGCCCCCTCTTAAAAAATAAATAAATATCACTTTCTATGGGAGGTCTTCATTGGCCACTCAGTGTAAAGGAATGACCAACACTATTCCATCATCCAGTTTCTTTTTTCAGGTTGACTGAGGTGTAACTTACATATAGTAAACTTTTAGGTGTACATTTCTCTGAATCTTGACAAACTTATGCAGTATGTAACCACCACCACTACAGTCTAGATGTAGAACATCCATCACCCCAGATACTATCATGTCCTTGGGTAGTCTATCTGATTCCTCCACCCTCAGCTCCTGAAAACCACTGATCTTTTCCAAAATAGCATATGAGTGACATTATACAGTGTACAGTTGGTTAAGTTTTATTGCTGAGTAGTGTTCCACTGCACAGGTATACCAGTTGGTTTATCCCTTCTTCAGTCAGTGGGCATTAGGGTTGTTTTTGGTTTGGGTGGTTATGAATAAAGTTGTCATCAACATTCACATAGGGTTTTGTATGGATGAATGTCTTCATTTTTCTTAGGTAAATATCATCCAGTATTATTTTCTTGAGAATTATTTTGTTCATTTATTTGCTTACTTGTTTATTATCTGTCTTCTACCACTAGAAATACAACCCCCCCTCAAAATGGGAGGCTATCTCATTCAGTAGCATATTCTCTGATACTAAAACCATCCCTCACCTGTAGTAGAGGCTTGATAAGTGTTTATTGAATACATGAGTGGATGGAAACATGAAGGAAGGAGTAAAGAAATGAATGAATTCTGGTAGGTCCTACTGAGAGAACCTGGAAGGCTGGATTATGGTTTGTGAATCATGTTCATCTCTTTTGATGGTTAACAGAATGACTGCAGTACAACAGTCGTCCCAACTCTAGATGAAAAGACCTTATGCAGGTTTTATGGGAACTATTTGGAGGATGCTTTTTTTTTTTAAGATTTTATTTATTTTTTTGTGTGTGTGAGAGAGAGAGGGCATGAAAGAGAGAGAGAGCACAAGCAGGGGGGAGGGACAGAGGGAGAAGCAGACTCCCCGATGAGCAGGGAGCCCGATGCAGGGCTCTATAGTCCTCTATAGAGGACCCTGGGATCATGACTGAGCCAAAGGCAGAGGCTTAATGACTGAGCCACCCAGGCGTCCCGGAGGATGCTTTTTAAGAAAAAACAAGTAAAATTATGAATGCAAAGTTAGGTAGAAATGTGGTTGTTTTAAAAGATTTAGAAAAATATTAGATTTAGAAATCACGATGTTAGAAATTTAAATAAGTTGATAAATTCTACAAACATCACAAAATCCAGAAAAATAACATAGTATCAATTAATTGCCTGACACATGTCCATCACACTTGTTTTCTTAAATATTTTGGCTTCATCCTCATTTGTCTCCTCTTAAAATGACAATGGTTTGGTGATATCCTTTTCTATAGAGAAATTAGAAAGATGAGTCAGACTCGTGGCATGGTTGATTAAAATGGGCTTATTATTAAGGATTGGTTAGAAAAGTTTCTTTCAGCTCCGTAAGTCATTACTGGCTATGTCATATATGTTTAGGATGACTGTATAGCGTTTAAGATTATTTGAGAAAGCCACTATCAAATTTCTTTCCTGTATGGGCTGTACAATTTCACAGTATTTAAAGTTTTGTGCCTTGAGTAATCTTAAATACTTGTTTAATTGACGTCCATTAACTTGTTTGCCATGGATGTCTTGGCATTATGAGTTTTAAGTTTTCCTCATCAATGTTGGTATTTTGTGGGTATGTGTAACATGAGTCACTTTACACAGATGTCTTTGCTGTTTGTAATTTGGCTACAGGTTTCTGTCCTATAAACATAGACACTCTGATAAATTTGACTTTGCTGATATATTTGGATTTAAATCTACCACGTTATTATTTGATTTTTACTGGTCTCACCAGTCTCCCTTTCTTCTTGCCTTCTTTTAAATTAGTGAAATATTTCAATTATTCTACCCCTCTGTATGAGTTTAATTATATAAGCTCTTAGTATTCTTTCAGGGGCTACCCTAGAGTTTACAACATGTATCCTTGACTTATTAGAGTTTGCTATAAATTAGTACTTTCCCACTTCCAGGACAATTCAAGGATTGCAATGCAAAGACACTTTATTTTAATACACTCCTGCCTTTTGTGGGGGGGGAAGCTATTGTTATTTTATATTTTAATTCTCTTTGTATTTTAAAACCCACAACTCATTATGTTTATTGTTTTTACATACTTTACATTTACTCACATATTTACCTTCAGATTTAAATTTATTCCCATATTTACCGTTTCTGTTGTTCTCTATTTCTTCCTACAACTCTGACTTTACCTGAGATCATTTTGCTTCTGCCCAAAGAATGCCCTTCAGTGTTTCACTGAGTGTAAATATAATGGGGATACATTTTCTTGTTTGGTGTGTATGAAAATGCCTTTATTTAATGTCATTTGGGGAG